TGACGAGGCTCATTTCCATCTTAACGGGCATGTTAGTAAACAAAATTGCCGCTATTGGAGCCCCATCAATCCAAAACTTAAGCATCAGAAGCCCTTACATAGTCCGAAAGTGACTGTTTGGGCCGCTATGTCAGCCCATGGTATCCTAGGGCCTTACTTCTTTGAGGATGGCAGAGGGCGCGCAGTTACTGTTACGTCGGAGCGATATGTGGCTATGATCGAAGAGTTTTTCATACCAGAATTGCAAAACTTTTCAGGCTTTAATGCCAGGACGTGGTTTCAACAGGATGGGGCCACTTCTCACACCTCTAACACTGCTATGCCCGTTATCCGTCAACTTTTTCCTGGCAAAGTTATCTCTAAGAGAGGAGACATTTCCTGGCCTCCACGTAGTCCAGATCTGACCCCGATGGATTTTTTTTTGTGGGGCTACCTTAAGGCTAAAGTATACGACACAAACCCGCGGTCAATTGAGGCCCTAAAAGAAAACATCCGCAGAGAAATGACAAGCATTTCAGCAGTGACGTGCCGCGCAGTCATCGACAATTTTAGACGTCGTTTGCAAGAGTGCCGTGATCGCAACGGATTACATTTAGGAGATGTTATTTTCAAAAAATTATTCCCGTTTTTTAAGCTTTTTATGTAAATAAAAATTTAATTCATAATGTAATTAGTTTTATTTTAATAAATTTTTTTTCATATCAAAGGACTTATGGGCCACCCTGTATTATTATATGGTACATATATTCTATTAGAAAATTATTCCCAATAAATAAAATTAAATAAAAATATTAACCGTTCTTCAAACCAAATTTAAAGAGAACTCTTTACAGCAACAGTACTTCGTATGTTTGTCTACAATGTACGATATATTAAATGTAGATTTTGTGTCTAATGAGTTATGTTCGAGTTTTTGAATCCATAAAAAAAAAAAAAAAATTTTGGAGTATAGAAGCAGCTGCCCCTGACTAAGAAAGAAGAGGAAGAAAGAAGACATGGAGGAAGAAAGAACAGAAGAGGGAAGAAGAAGAATCCCACCCACCATCAACTCAGACCAAACTAACTCAATCCCGCAGCTCATTACCCCTGCTTCAATAGACAGGGAATTACAAACCCGGGCAGAGGGGCTTCCTCGAGACCCGTCCCGCGCCCCCGTATGGGGACGCGACGACCTGATACTTATATTAAATCGCCACATTTTGCATAAAGAGCCGATGATAAAAAAATTTAAAACACCCTATGTTCTAAATTGCCACAATTTAAGTAACCACGAAACCTTATTACTAATGATCTTATTAATCTAAAACCGATTAGCCGAAGGCGGTCAATTAAATTAAAAATATATATTTGATATTAGAACACTAAAATTAAATATTTATGCACACACAGACGAATAAGCGAAAATAAAAGAAAACTCCATTTTGTGACTAAACAAACCTTATATTTTATGACTAAAACTTGTTTTACGATTTAATCTCGACTTTTTATTAATACGCTTTTATTACCTTCAGACGTATGATTGTAACGGAATCATTAAACATGATTTTGACCCCTTTTAAAATGTCGAATTAACTGGAAATTTGGTATACTTATTCAGGACCGATAACAATTAAAAATTTAAAAAAAAATATATAAATTTAAATTCAACTAAAAGATGATAAATAATAGTTTAAAAAAACTAACAAAATACGCTTTTATAGAAAATCCAACTAAAAATAGAAAATAAATTTTAATAAATTCGAATTAAAAATAGTGTAAGAAAAAAAGATTTTATTGTAAAAATTAACAGATATGAGTAGAAGGGTTATTTTGACAATATTCTGAAAAGCACCCCAAGTTTTTTTACAATAAAATCATGTTTTCTTACACTATTTTTAATTCAAATTTAAAAAAAAAAAAAAATTTAACTATTATTTATTATTTTCATAACATTATTTCCAACATTTCGTGCACTATATATAAACAATAAGTAAATGAAAAAACACGAAGGTAAACTATGAAATTATTTTTAATTGTTAACACCTACGAATCGCGATAGCCCGGAATAAATACTATATTAAACATTTACCCTTTCTGGTCTTCCGTCGATATACCACATAATGTTAGCTGGAGGCATAGCAGGCCCTGTGGTGCAGTTTAGCTCCATATCCTCGCCCAGTTGCGCGCTGGTTGGAACCCCTACGACGAGTGGGTCATCCTTCAGCGTCACTACAATCAAGAAGATAATAATGCCAAATAAAACACCAAAATGCTTATTTATTGACACAGAATTGTGGCGGGTAACCATCATACTTGACAGATGGATCAGACCGCTGGGTGGAAGATCTACCCTTTTTTTATTGCTTAGGTGGGTGGACGAGCTCACAGCCCACCTGGTATTAAGTGGTTACTGGAGCCCATAGATATCTACGACGTAAATGCGCCACCCACCTTGCGATATAAGTTCTAAGGTCTCAAGTATAGTTACAACGGCTGCCCCACCCTTCAAGCCGAAAAGCATTACTGCTTCACGGCAGAAATAGGCAGGGTGGTGGTACTTACCTGCGCGGACTCATAAGAGGTCCTACCACCAGTCCCTTCGTCATTATACTCTCTACACTGGTGACCCCGAAGTGATATGAACACGCAACTTTCTGATCACTTAATCCACCTTTAAATAAATATCCAACTCACCAGCTACTGTAAGATTCTTTGTCTGCTTCACAACGGCGAACCTTGGTCTTTCAGTAGACACCTCACACGTGAAAGACAGCCTCATGTTGTAAGTCCTGGGCAGCACTACGCTGATGCTGCAAACATGCTCGTTACAGGAGCCTCTGGTCACGCCCGCTATCGTTGTGTTGAATGTGCGGGTTTGGGGCTGTTGAAATAGAGATGTGGTTTCGGTAAAACTGAGGAAAGAAACATATGTAGTACAATTTAGGAATTTCTTCTATATAATTAAATAAAGAACACTATTTAGGTCTTATGTCACCACTTTTGTTGCGAACCAATATTTTCTCCACAGCTCCACAGCTTTATTTACGACTAGCTGACCCAGCAGACTTCGTAGTGCCTCAATCGATAAATAAAAGACCTAAGCTTTTGTATAAAATAAACTTAAAACAAACAAAAGGAAACCGTCCGACGGAGGACACATCAAAGGAAAAACAAAATTGTTATTTTTATTTAATTCCGAGGATTTTCATATTAAAAGGTAGATACTTTTAAACCTTCTCTGGACTGCTACAAATAATTCAAGACCAAAATTAGCCAAATAGGGCCAGCCGTTCTCAAGTTTTAGCGAGACTAACGAACAGCAATTCATTTTTATATATATAGGTAGAGATAGATGTTTTTTTTTTTTTTTGTGCATATGAATATAAGCGACTGCTATTTAGTGAGTTGAATTATAAATCTGGATTTTATAATACTAACCTGTTGTCCAGGACTGTATCTAAATATCTCGTTGTTCCCTCGGTACCACTTGACGGAGTGCAAAGGTGGGTCGCCCTTGTCGTTCGCGTAGTGGCATTTCAGGTTGGCTTCCCGGTACGGGTCTCCATACCTTGGAACTTCTAGTAGGGTGATGTTGTGGGCCGTGACTATTACTGCAGACAAATGAAATATTTGTTACTTCATATAAAAAGTTGAAGAGGCAACGGTAGGCAGCGGCTTGGCTCTGCCCCTGGCATTGCTGAAGTTTATGGGCGACGGTAACCACTCATCATCGGGTGGGCCGTATGTTCGTTTGCCAACAAGGGCAATAAAAAAAAGGAATGGTGGTAGGACGTTTCATGAGTCCGTACGTGTCAGTACCACTGCCGTGAAGCAATAATGCGTTTCAGTTTGAAGGATGGGGCAGCCACACTTGTACTGTAAAAACTGAGGCATTCGAACTTATATTTCAAGGTGGGTGGCGGCATTTACGTTATAGATGTCTATGGGTTCCGGTAAACATATAACACCTAGTAAGCCGTGAGCTCATCCACCCATCTAAGCAATAAAAAAGAAAGGCATGACAATTTTCTGAAAGTTGGTCATATCGCAATATCAATAATAATGCGTGTTCAATCTGTTGTCAATGTTACTAAATCTAATTCTGATCTCAACTTCTATCATTGTTACGTCTCGGATCCTTCTCTACGTCCTGACCGATAGAACCGCCGTACTGTGTCCCCATTTGTCGGTTAGTACTTAGCCGTTTGTTCCAATGCAATAAAAAATCGACGTCATCTCTCAAGGTGGGCGAAAGATTTCGCATCATCAAGTCCATATCCTGTGAGGGTCATCATCTGCCCACAATCGTCCACTGCTAGACATAGACCACTCCCAATCCACACCACTCAGCCTGGTATTCGGCTCTCCTCATCCACCTCCTGCCGGCTAGTCGGGGTCATCGCATTACCTAGCCAGGGGGCGTCCCACATGGGTGCGGTGTCTCAAGCGTGGGGGTAAACTATTACCAAATTATAAAAATACCTGCCAAAATATACTGGCATTGTTAGCACAGATGAGTGCTACCTATATCAAAGTATTCATCTCAAATTTTTTTTAAATGAAACTTATCACGCCATTCCCATCCGTATTCAAATTCAGCACTGCTTGCTAAGTTTGGACCATTCAATAAATAACTAACACCGAAATTCAGTACTCTCGTAACACTACGTCATTCCACACGACGATAAACCCCTAGAAAATATTAATTTATGAAAATCAATTTGCATACAAAACAATGTAGTTATGAACTTGTTCCAGGGATGGCAAGTTTTTAATCAACGGTACGAAGGCGAAACACAATAACTACACGAAGTTTAAAAGCACACTGCACAATCTATTCGGCTAACTGATAAAATATATAAACTATGAAACTGATAATTTGTTTTTTTACGTTTCGTTGACTTTAAGTTTATTCAAATAATGATCGTTTCCAGCCTGGCGCAAAATCAAGGTAAAAAAGCGATTCTATGAATCTAAAGCGAATTGTTAACCCGTCTAAGTTTGAAAAAACAACAACATCTACAAAGCAGTATGTAATTGACGGCATTCTAATTTAGGCGGATTGTACTTGTTATAATTCTAATTCTTCATTTTGGCAAGATTGTTTTCGACTTTTCCCTTCCATTTCATACTTATTATAATTTACGCTATTTGTAAGGCACTCCCGTCTCTTAAAACGTAGTGGTTATATCCTCTTTGAGTGTTTCGTCAAATTGGCATTGTTTTTTTTCAACTATGACATTTGTAATAAATAAATGTTTAAAATGTCATCAGAGCTTATACAGTTGTAACTATAAAAACTAGCACGCTTTTGATAATAAAATAATAATGACACATCTAGGAGAACCTTTGGTCCCGTGAGGAATTGATTGTTTAAAAGATTCCCGCTTTGTTCTCTTCAGTATTCCACCAGCAGATAGCAGAAAAAATCTTCCTTAAGATATGAAACTGGTGTGGTTGTCAACGACGCGTTTTCAAGGGTCACTTTTCCTCCGTACTTGGCTCTGTAATTAATCCCCTATACTGTTTTTTCGATGGCTTATGCTTCTTCTTCAATAGAAATTTGAAAAGTCTTCTATATAGCTATAAGCTCACTTTGGGTTCTGCCTCTACTACTGCCAATCAGATCAGTCAAGGTTTGGAAGTCCATAAGGACTTTGTCATAAAACAAAGAAGCGGTATTTCACACCTTGTCAACGACTACCCAGCCAAACTATAGACAAATCCTCAGATGGAAGCTTCTCTGGCCTAATTGTCATCGAAGCTGTAATGTGGCCAGAATTATCGTTACGTTCGTCCCTCAGTCATATTGGTCACTACTTAACAGAGGTAAGACCCTTATTTGTTCATTAATCGTACCTTTTAGGTCAAAACCGCTTTGAAATTCAAAGTAACCCTTACCAAAATCATTCTGAAACTCGTGTTTCCGTGTGAGAATATGTTAACACACAAACGACTCGGTAAATTTACCCCATGTGTTACACAATGTTCTAGTTTAAATTGAAGCAAATTCGTCTGACGTTTATATTATTGCTGTAGGAGTGTGCTCGTAATAGAAATGGTAAATGAAAGGGAGAGTAAAATTCGTATTAACGAAAAGGATGGATGTATGTTGGAAAAAGAGACAAGAAATTAAATGATGATTTAAAGGCATGTACCCCGTTCTCAAGATCAAAAATGTCACAACAAACAATGTAAAAGCTGACATTACTAAAGTAGCCTCTTACTTTTTAAACTTAGATGCACAGTTTTTTTTTATTGCGAGATGAGTGGACGTGCTCATAGCCCACCTGGTGTTAAGTGGTTACTGGAGCCCATAGACATTTACGACGTAAATGCGCCACCCACCTTGAGATATAGGGTGGGTAGGCAGGGTGGTGGTACCCACCCGCGCGGACTCACAAGAGGACCTACCACCAGTAAGAGACTGAAGGAGACTATGGCGGCAACAAATATCATAGATCAACTCATCTTTAAAAATGTCACACACACTCACTGTAACGTCACTGAAATATCCCAACCAATGTTTGATAACTAAAACGGCATCACAAAAACGTCTACGATTTCTTTCCTGCCAAAGCCTCTTGCTTCAGTACAAAATCTTAGTTTGCAAACAATGGGATTCTCTAGGAGCGAGGGTGGTTTTTCATCGCAACGCACCTGGCGCCCTGACCTCTATACATACTTAATGAGCTACTTAAGACTAAGTTATCAACCGTTAAGTACATCTTTAACGAGAACGTTTCAGCATCAAGTATTCAAAAGCTACACTTGGCTTCTATTTTCGTTTAAGAATTTCGCTCGAGTTTGGTTTGAGTTTTTTTTAATATATATATATATATTTTTTTTATTGCTTAGATGGGTGGACGAGCTCACAGCCCACCTGGTGTTAAGTGGTTACTGGAGCCCATAGACATCTACAATGTAAATGCGCCACCCAACTCGAGATATAAGTTCTAAGGTCTCATTATAGTTATAACGGCTACCCCACCCTTCAAACCGAAACGCATTACTGCTTCACGGCAGAAATAGGTGGGGTGGTGGTACCTACCCGTGCGGACTCACAAGAGGTCCTACCACCAGTAAAATTTATTTATATAATATAATTATAAATTTATATATAAATTAAAATAAATTTATATAAATTGCGAGGTTAAAGTGAAACTTAATTTCAATGTGGTATATATACCTATACATTTTTTTTATTGCTTACATGGGTGGACGAACTCGTGACCCACCTAGTGTTTAAGTGATTACCGGGGCCATCCACCTTGAGATATAAGTTCTAAGGTCTCAGTATAGTTATAACGGCTACCCCACCCTTCAAACCGAAACGCATTACTGCTTCACGACAGAAATAGGCAGGGAGGTGGTGGTACCTACCCGTGCGGACTCACAAGACGTCCTACCACCAGCATATTTTAGAAATATTTTTTTTTTGTTCTAATAGATGGGCGAAGACCCTGCGCCCACCAGGCAGGCATAAAGTGATTATCGAAACATGTGGATATCATTATCACGATGTGAATGCCGCCTACCACCTTAAGACATGAGGTGAAAGTATCAATTGCATAGGATAACGCCTGTCGGAACCTTTAAATCAGAACATGTAATTACCGCTACTCTACCTCCAGTAATTATGAGAATTTATATTTTTTGCGGAGTTCATTACACAATTTCTTTTAAGTCATGGAACTTGTTCGTAAGCAAGTGCTGTGTGCGTATTTCTTTAGAAAATTCTTACCTAGCTGCGGGATTTAAGCTCACATAATCACAACACTTAACACGAGTACATCTGACTTTTTATAGACCATGACAAATTCTGTCCCTGTTTTTAGCTTTCAACAATTAGACAAGCTCATGTCCATTGCGACATCTGTATGTTTGGTAGTCACTCAGAATTTAGGACAGATGGATTCTTTAGCCATTTACTGTAAAAAGCAAGCTAGTAAAAACTTTTCGGTCTATTTTTTTTTTAATTGCATAGATGGGTGGACGAGCTCACAGCCCACCTGCTGTTAAGTGGTTACTGGATCCCATAGACATTTACAACGTAAATGCGCCACCCACCTTGGCATGTAAGTTCTAAGATCTCAGTATAGTTACAACGGCTGCCCTACCTTTCAAACCGAAACGCATTATTGCTTCAGGGCAGAAATAGGCAGTGCGGTGTACCTACCCGCGCGGTTTCACAAGAGGTCCTATCACCAGTAATTACGCAAATTATAATTTTGCAGGTTAGATTCTTATTACACGATGTTATTCCTTCACCGTGGAAGTCAATCGTGAACATTTGTTGAGTACGTATTTCATTAGAAAAATTGGTACCCGCCTGGGATTCGAACACTGGTGTGTCGCTCAACACGAATGCATCGGACGTCTTATCCTTTAGGCCACAACGACTAATAAGCTATTTACAGTTCTGCTCTTAGTAGGTACAAAAACAAGTGATTAAATCTTCAAAGCCAACCAGTGAGTCGTCGCCGAAGTGGTTCTCTCCGTCCATTTATGAGTCACACAAACACTTTACGTACGAAGGCCGGATTTAGGGTCCATTACATCGACCCGATTATCTTTCGCTCCATCTGGTGCCTTTTTGGCGGAAACCCCC